CTCCAGCTCCTCGCGCTGTTCCCGGGCCAGGCGCTTCATCTTCAGCCTTAAACCATGGTCCAGCAGCCGCCGCTGGCCCTGCTGTGCTTGGAGCTTCTGCTGCTGCTCCCGCTGCTCCTGCAGGAGGCTCGTCTGCCGCTGCTGCGCCTGCACGCCACACAGTTATCATACACTCAGTTACCACGTCTGCCAAATTTGCAAAAGGTGAATGTGTCACTGGTCTAGGTTGGAAGTGTAGACAGTGTTATGTTCAGAAGGAGTGTGGAATATGAACAGGAGGCTCCTGGGCATGCTCAGAATGACCCTTTAAATCATCTTTCAAGAATCAGAATGATCTGCAGTGGTTGTGTGTGTTTGTGAGCTGTGTCTCCCCCTTGTGGTGATTTGAGATGAGTGCGACTGTAATGACTGAGGAACAGACCAGAAGCCGGGCTTCCTCTTCTTTCAGCTTCCTCTCCCGCTGCCTCTGCTGCTCGGCCGCCTCCATCTGCCTGCACAGGATGCTGCGCTGCTCCTCGTTCCTGTGTCGCCGGCTCTGGGCTCGAGCGCTCTCCAGCTCCTCTTTGGCTCGCCCATCACCCGCCCACAGTTCAGAGAAGAGCAGGTCCTCCTCCTGCTGCCGCCGCTGTTGCGCCTGCCGGCTCCTCACCTGAGCGGTTCGCTCCTGGGACACCTGCTGCTCCGTGAGCCTGCTGCAGATGCTGCGCAGCTCCTCGCACTGCTCCCTGAGAACAGCAGTAACCACACAGCTGAGACTATTCATTAAAAATTAAAAGGATTTTCTGATGTTGGTTACAGGACTGCATCAGCATTTTAAAGTCTAACTTTCTGAACTTGTTTTTAAGCAGCTTCAGTTCAGGTAGGCCAAACTAGCTTCCTGCCTCGAGTTGTGCTCCCGTTTAACTTGTTCCAGTGTGAATCAGTAGTTTGAAATGAATTCCTTCAGGGGAGTTCACTGGCTCTAATATTAATGATTTATCTTGGGAATGTTTGTAATTGAGATGAATATTTGTAACTGTTTTCTGCTATTTAATTAAAGTGAATCACCATCTCTATAAGACATGCTGCGGTGGATGTTTAGGTGGAGGGTGCAGGGTACCTAAACTGCTGCTCCAGTTTCTCAGACACCAGCTGCTGTCGCTCGCTCTCTCTCTTGTGTCTCAGTGCTTTGGCTTTCTCTCTCATCTTTGCCTCTTTCTCTAATGTTGTCTCCTTTTTCTCCTCCATCTCCTGCAGGAGCTGCTGCTCCTCCACCTCCAGCAGCTCTGCCAGCCTTAGGACACGATTGGGTGAGAAAGATGTCACAGCAAGCACAGACTGTAAATACTGTATCCCACCATCCACTCAGCACCCTCCTCTGTCACACCAACCCTCTGCATGTCCTCCTTCACTACATCCATGAACCTCCTCTGAGGTTTTCCTCTCCTCCACTCTGCCTGCACTTTCTTCTTCACATATTGTGCACCCTTGTACAATGGATGGTTGACCCCAGATATTTAAACTCATCCACCTTCATCTGCTGCTTGCAGGTTTATCTTTCCACCTGTGTGCTTATTCCTCTTATCTCCAGTTCTTCTCTCATCTCCAGGCTCTCCTCCGCATGCTCTCTACTCTCACTACAGCCGAGGATTAAAACTATGATGCATTATTATTCTGAGCTTTAATAATCTCTGATTTTAGGTGGGATACTGGATGATGAAAACCGGTAAAAAGTCACTTGATTAGCAGGTACTAAGGTTACATGTGTGTTGTGTAATCAGAGTATAAAGTAATCTGAGTACTAAAGGTGCTGTGGGTGGACTTTGTCATCAAACCTGCATCTCCTCTGCTCGACGTCAGTCTCGTGCTGGCTCACGGCGGCTTGGACTCCCCTCTCCACGGCTCCTTTCAGGAATCGCTGCTCCGTGTCTTTCAGCCATGACGTCTTGATGTTGCAGCTCTGTTGGTACTTGGAGAACTCCAGCACTTTGTCTCGGGCCGCGTCCTGCCTCTGCCTCTGCAGCATCAGCTGCTCTGCAGGCCTCAGAGCAGGAGGCCGGGCTCTCTGAGACACCACACAGATCCAGAACAACAACCACACAGACAGAAACTGACATCAGTAACACTGCAGTACTGTGAGGAGTAGTATTCATATTTTCTACTCCACCATGGAGAGCCTTCTGTCCTACTGCTGCACACTCTGGTTCAAGTGCTGCACTTTGGAGGACAAGAGGAAACTGCAGCGGGTGGTGAGGGCAGCAGAGCTGGCAATTGGCACTTCACTAACCCCCCTCAGAGACATTTATCCTGGCAGACTTCAGAAGAAAGCCAGCATCATCCTCAAAGACCCCTCGCAACCTGGACACTCACTCCCACTTACTTACGCTATTGTGTACTTCACACGGAGAGACTGCCTTTCATTGTTCTTGTAACAGTGACAATAAAGAGCTATTCTATTCTATTCTTTTTTAATATAATCTATTCTATTCACTGTAACTCACAAACATATCTTATGCCACTACTCCTGTTTAGTTACGTTGCAGGTTAATACTGAAGCAACAGCAACTATAATACTTTATAGTTTTACTCTGAAATAGGACACTTTGCATAGTAAATGGTAAATGGACTGGTGATTATGTAGCACTTTCTTCTCTTAGAGATCACTCACAGCGCTTATACCTTCACACTGCAGAAATTGTACTTTTACTTAACAGCAGTATAAGTGCTATTACTTTAAATGTTGCCTTTACACCGCTGCATTCTGTTGTACTTTTACCTTGCAGTAAATTTACCTATTTACCTTACTATTATGGACCATTTTTTACTAAAGGCGTGGTGCTGCTTCTTTGTTGGTGTCCCTCTTACCACAGCCACAGAGTGGGGCGTGGGTCCGGTGATCTCCCTGCACCTCGTTCTCCTCTGACTGAGCAGCATCCCGCGGGATTGGGCTCTTGGTGTCCGGGGGTCTGCCTCTGCTCTCCGGTTCACGACTCTTCGTTTCAGCTCTCGGAGCTCCGTAAGTCTTAGTAAAAAGTTAAAACACAGAGGAGACCTTCGCTTTCCGTTACCATGGAAGCAACAAACAGAAGACGTAGGTCACAGCTCACTGTATGCGCATGCGTCACCGCAGCCGACATGCTGCTCCGGTGAGTCAGCGGGGCTGCCCCGCCCTCTAAAGCACGAGATTGTAACGTGTGAAGTTTTGGAGTTTTTTTGTAAGTTCTTTTTATTTAAAACGTTTTTTTAAGTGAAAAAAAGGTTTTTAAATCATAGTATGGTAATTATAGCACACAGTTTGGTTTGTTTCAAAGTCTGACTTAATGCGAATCGTTCAGATCGTTCTGCCTCCTCTCTGCACACCCACGAACAACCCTCTGCAGGTCGGCAGCGACACTAAACTTTATTTGTTACTGTGAGTCACCTCAGCCCCGTTTAACACTTTTGATACTAAGGTAATTTAGGTGATTTAGGATGAGTCGACACAGTGAAATATGTGGTGATATATGTCACTTCCATCATCTTTCATCAGTGACTTAAATTAAAACCCTGATCTTGTTTTTCTTTGCCTGACATGATCCACAGTCAGCTTTGTTTAGTGAAAAAAATTTATGAAACATTTTCATAAACTATTATTCAATACTGGAAATTAGGTTTAATCCCCTGTAAAATGTGATGTGTAGAAAAATGCTGTCTTTAGTTTTACGAGTAATGCACAGGAACATCTCTATGTTTCAGCAATTCTTCTAAGTCCATAGCCTGAAATCACAGCCAAATACGGTGTTCACAAGAATGAACTTTTAGAACTTACAGATAGGCCTGTGTGCCACAAAACATTACTGCAGAGATGAGAACACTTCACTCTGAGTGACATTTAACAATACACTGACTTGTTTTTCAGCTTCACTCATAGGCAGGATGTTTTTAATTTTAGTGATACTGATCAGACGAGAGGAAGCAGTCCAGGTTGGAGGTTCACTTAAAGCACTTAAGTAAGTAAATGTACACAGTGGTCCTATCGATGTGCTCATTCAAGACAGTGAACGTGGACAATATGTCCTCATTTTCTTAACAAAAACTCATTGTTACACACAGGTGCAACATAGATGCACGTAAACTGATTTGTACATTTATCATTTCATGTTCTCTTTAAAATCCACCAAGTCAACAGTAAACAGCTGATGGTTAGCTTTAGGGTTGGGTGTGACTTAAGTCACAAGGTAAAAAAGGGAGATTTTCAGACACTAGAACTTTGATTTTAAACTGAGTCTAAGATATTTTGGCAACTTCTATTTGAGTTTAATAAACCCAAACACTTCCCCTAAACCTATCAAATACCTGGTGGATGTGAAATGACCTCTAACTTACTGCTTCTAGATTCAGATAAAACTGAGGTTATTGTATTCGGCCCTGAAAATTCTTAGAAATATGGTATCTAACCAGTGACTTGCTCTTGATGGCATTACCTTGGTCTCCAGTAAACTGTGAGGAACCTTGGAGTCATTTTTACCAGTATATGTCCTTCAGTGCACATATTAAACACATATGTAGGACTGCTTTCTGTCATTGGCACAATATCAGAAAAATCCTGAGCAGTTTTTTCAGCAGTGCTCCTTTGAGCACTGCTGAAAAAACTAATTCATGCATTTGCATTGATGTAGCTGTTGTTCTTTATTAATACATTTGAATGGAATTGAGTTATTACTTTTAGACTGGACTACTGTAATTCATCTTTATCAAGATGTCCTATAAAAATCCCGAAAAGCCTTCAGTTGATCCAAAATGCTGATGCAAGAGTGCTGACAGGGACACACACACACAGAGCACATTTCTCCTATACCGATTTCCCTGCATTAAAATCCTGCTCCTCACATACAAGGTCTTTTTAACCTTACTATTACCATTTTCTTAGTATTATTATTCTTCAATCTTTACTTTACAACATAAAGCATCTTGAGATCACAGTTGTTTGCCTCCAAATACATTTATTTGAATCTAATCATTTTCTTTTTCTGCTGTCTCTGTTTGATCTTCTCTGATGTCTCCAGACTCTGTCAGGCTGCTGAATGGTTCCAGTCTGTGTTCAGGCAGACTGGAGGTGAAGTCTAACCAGAGCTGGTCCTCAGTGTGTGAAGCTGACTTTGACCAGCAGGATGCAGAGGTGGTCTGTAGGGAGCTTGGCTGTGGGCCTCCTTCGGTCCTCCAGGGGGCGCTCTATGGAGAAGTGGAGGCTCCAGTGTGGAGCAAAGAGTTCCAGTGTGGAGGCCATGAGTCTGCTCTCCTGGACTGTAGAAGCTCAGGCTCAGCTAGAAACAGCTGCTCACCTGGCAAAGCTGTTGGACTCACCTGCTCAGGTAGAAGAGGAGCTGCAGCTTTGATGTGGTTCAAACTCACTTTATTTTTTACTGATGACTCTCTGCTTTCTGTTCAGAGCCTTATGATATCAGGTTGGAGGGAGGAGCCAGTCGCTGTGATGGAAGACTGGAGATAAAACATCTGGGAGAGTGGAGACCTGTGGACGGCTCTGACTGGATCCTGAATGAAGCAGCTGTTTTCTGCAAACACTTAAACTGCAGCTCTGTGGTTTCTGTAGAAGTGAGAGATAACTCCTTTTACAACCAGACGTGGTTTCTCAATCAAGGCTGTGTTCGGTCTCGATCTGATTTAAGGGCGTGTGCAGCATCGGGATTCACTTACAGCATCCTGCTTCTTACCTGCTCAGGTAAGCACATTAGTGACATCTATGAGGTGATCAGAAGTTTGCTGAGTGGTAAACAGCTTATGAAACACACTTCAGTAAATGTGCTTTTACAGATGTGTTTCTACCGAGACATCGGCAGCTTTCCCACTCTGCTGCATCTTTCATCATTTCTCTGTAAAGTGTCACTACAGAGTCCGTTTGTTGGAAAAGAAAAGGTCTTTTGGTAAAAAAAGCAAGTCCTTACCTGGACCGTTTTGTTCTGGATGACAGCATGTCAGTGCATTCTATTTTTTTGCTCTCTGCACTGTTTACTGTCAGTCTGTATAATGGCAGGATAATTGGAGCGGTCCTTTCAACACGATAACAGCTTCAGGCAGTGATGGCCAGATGAAACCTTGTGAGAATTTAATGTTTTTCATCCAACTGGTTCAGAAAAAGGTTCTTTTCTCGATGCTTCATATGCACACCACACCCCCTGCTGGTCAACACCTTAATTGTCATTGGCCTGCATGATGCAAACAGAGTTCTATTAATGTCAAAAACCTTGTCAGTGTATCAGTCAATGTTTGAATAATGATGGTGTTGGTTTTTTTAAGAAATAATATTTTTCCACTGTGCTTGGACTCATTTTCTCTTTTTGGTAATAACTTCTCTGGCTTTGGAGAAATTGTGAAAGTGAACACTGACACGTACATTTTCAGGGGTCCATTGCGCTTTATTTTATTGTTCATAGATCACAACCGCACTTGAACCAATTTGAACCAACGAGTCTTCAAACTTCATAACTGATGTCAGTCACATGTAAAGACGCAAGCCTCAATGGGTGCTTCATTAAGCATTTCCTGGATTTCTCAGCACATGCTCTGAAGCTTCATCCCATCACAAGTTTTATGATAACCTTTGAACATTTTTAATGTGTCTTTGTACATAAATGGACACTTTTATATATCACAGTATGAAATACTACATTTTGTATATATATAAACCGTTATGTGTGTTTCTTGCTCCATACTAAAAAAGTTAGTGTGACTTAAATGTCTGTTATGGGTGTTAAAGTGGCTGTTTACGGCATATTACTGTCTGATAAAGTGCAGCAGAGCTGAAAATGTTTTTTCAGACTGTATGAGCTGTTTAGCCTTTTTTCCATGGTATCATTTGTTTATGGTCAATTGCAATATATTTAGTTAAAAGGCACTTAACTAAGGAGGATGGGACACAAGCACACAATCCAGAGGATAAAGTGCAGTATTATCAAGAGAAGGAGAATGGATTCACATAAATAAAGAAATAATTTAAAGTAATTATGCTTCAAATTGAAGTCAAGTTTTTTTAAAATGGGTTTTAACAGATAAATAAGGAAAGCCTGCATTTTTACTGTACAACCAAATGAATATATAGAATATATAGCGTTAGCTGCCTTGATGGAGTGCTTCCTGTCAGTGTGTTTGATCACATGACACAGGTCTTTCTGTCCTGTTACTCACACTGTTGTGTATTTATACTTGAGGGCACTGAACACATGAGTGATGATTGAGTGATGCAGTGGGTCTGATTGTCAGTCTGACAGTGTGCTGTCATGTCTCTGCAGCCAAGCAGCACACAGCAGGACCCTGAGCTGACTGTGACCTCCATGTTTGTGCTGCTGAAGATGACGAAACTCGGGAAGCAAAGGAAAACCTCTAAAGAGCTCATCTCATGTCTCAATGAATTTCTTAGCTGACAAAAACCCCATAATCTTTATGTCTGATGTAATTAGCATTTTTGGACATTAATTATTCACATGATTCTACAGTTTTCCTGTTATGTAATAAGATGCTTTTGCTGTCTAAGAAAATAAACTCTGTTGTGTGTGTGTGTGTATCTGTGTGTGTGTTGTGTGTTTGAACAAAACTACTTTAGTTTGATTTGTTTATTTTAAAGAAAACAAAGTGCAGGTTGATATTTGCTGTTGGAAAACAAACAGTATGTAACTTTCTACCTGTGCAAGGTTATAGGACCATAAATGTAGGGGTCAGTGGGACTGTGAGAGGACTTACGAGAAGCCTGTTGATCAGGAACCAGGAAAGGCAAACAAAGTAAAAATGACAGAATCAGACTGTGGAGGCAAACCTTGCCTCGTCCTTGCCTCGTATCTCCTGAGCTGAGCATCATGGATCCCCGTCTGCTGCTGCTGCTGTGGAGCTCAGGTAGGATTACAAATCAACTGTCAGCATTCTGTGATTTGATCATCAAACAACCTGCACACACAGCAAGCTCATCATAACACACAGATATGAAAGGATCAGAGGATGAACTGCTCTCTCCAAGTAAAATCCGTCTTTATATTCATGTTTTTTTTCTTATGTCCTTCTCAGGAGTCCAAGCTTGCAATGAGCTCATATCAAAAGGTAAACTAAAAAATAAAGAATCACACAAACATAATTAACAGTTTCACTTTAATCTTTTCAGAAGTAAATTCCTTTTCTGTTCAGAGTCTGTCAGGTTGGTGGGAGGCGCCAGTCGCTGTGCAGGAACACTGGAGCTAAAACATCTGGGAGAGTGGAGGCCAGCGGTGTTGTTTGTGTGGACTCCGAAGGCAGTCACTGTAATTTGTGAACATCTGGCCTGTGGCTCTGCTGTTTCTGTAGGAAGGAGAGAGAAGGCTCCACACAGGTCAATGTGGTGGATCAATGGTGCCTGTGTGGAGAAAGCATCTGCTCTGTGGAGTGTCTGTGTGTTTCCTGAACCCTTTCCCTTTGCCTCAGAGTTAACCTGCTCAGGTAAACCCATTTGTAGCATCAATGATGATGTAATATAACAAAATAATATGTGACAACAACATGACAGGCTGATGCATTCACCACCTAGAAGAGCAGCAGTCATGAAAGAGTTTCAGGGGTCTCTGAAACCAAAGGGCTGCTGAGCTCCACAGCTCATTAAGAACTTACATATTATTGTATACGTATTATTGTATTGTATGATAGAAAACACCCCAAAGGCAGCTGTTTTTGTAATTTGCTGCAATACAAGTTAAACTTAATTTAACTTAATTTAACTTTCTTGGCTTCTAGTTTCAGTTGATGAAATTGAAACTAGAAGCCAAGAAAGTTCAGAGACTCCATGCTGAACAGCTCCTCAACAGTACGCAGTTCTTGTTTTTTTTAATTTGGGTTACAGATCTTCTCAGAAAAGTCAGAAAGGATGAAATGTGTTGTTTGGGTGGAGAAGATGATCAGCAGGAACAGAAGAGAGAACTCTGCAGATGATGATGATGATGCTGTACTGATGTTAGAAAATAATCAGGGGCCTCATTCTCAAACCTAAGTGGAACAAATTCACACAAATTATTGTTTCACCAATATTTTCTTACATAAACCATCTGCAATCTTTAAACTGAATGGTGCTATACTACTACTACTAATAATAATAATAAGGGGAGAAACCTGGGAGGCTACTAGCTTGGTGTCTTAAACAATCGCAAACAGAAAGGGCAATTCATTCAATTAGGAATATTCAAGGTGAATTAGTAGTACAGCCACAGGAAATGAATGTAAATACTTTACAGGCTACCTTTCTAAATGATCTTGAGTTTCCTTCTATTCCAGATGACCTTTGGCCTACTCTTGACACTAATTTAACAATTAAAGAAATTCAGGAGGCAGTTGACATTCTGAAATTGGGAAAAGCTGCTGGGCGTGATGAGCTGCCTATGGATTTTTATAAAAAATTTCAATATAAACTCTTAAAACCGTTGCTAGATATGTATTCTGAGTCCTTTGAAAATGGTTTGCTTCTGCCCTCTCTAAGAGCTGCATTGTTTACAGTAATCCCTAAACCTGAAAAATCCAGAGATTGTTGTCAGTCCTGTCGGCCACTTTCTTTATTGAATGTGGACATGAAAATTCTTAGCAAGATATTGGCCCTGTGATTAGAGAAATGTCTCCCACTAGTGATTAATACAGATCAGAATGGTTTTGTTAAAGGAGAACAAGGGTCTCACAATGTGAGGAGATTAATAAATGTCCTCTATGAAAACCGAGATGCTTGTGATACTGCAGTTCTGTCGCTAGATACCGAAAAGGCCTTTGACAGAGTTGAATAACTCTGTCAAAGATTTTTGAGTTATTTACTTTGCAAATAACTCAAAAATTTACAAGATTTACAAAGTGAATAACTCAAAATCCTCTTTAATGTTGCTGAATGAAACAGAGCGAGTTAATTATCTCAGACATTCAAACCATCGGAATGCCTGACTTACTTGGGAATCCGTATAGTACCAGATGTTAGCAAGATAGCCGACGTTAACTACGACCCTACTTTTCAATCTATTACGGAATCGATAAAAAGGTGGGCAAATCTACCCATATTGACTATTTAGCAGATTAATTTTGTGAAGATGAGCGTACTCCTTAAACCTCTCTACTTATTTCAGAATATCCGTCTACCAGTACCTGCAGGTCTCTTAAATCAAAGAAAATTATTACCAATTTTATTTGGCAAAATCGTCGCCATCGGCTTCGGTATATCTGCCATTTGACAGGGGTGGGCTTAAGGCTCCTAACTTTCAGTCGTTGCGCAATTTTGGGCTGCACAGTTGCGCATGATGATGTACTATTTCTCATCTGATGGGTTTAAATGGAATTGTTCTTACTTAATTCAGAACTGCCCTTGAGTGCATATTTGTACTCAGCGCCAGTTAAAACTCTTAAAAGAAGCATAGCAAATCCTATTATTTTGAACACGATCAATGTATGGCACAAAGTACATGATGTTTTGGGAGTAGGGAAACCCCTATCTCATTTTAGTCCGATTCAGGGAAACAACCATTTTAAACCTGGTATGATCGATACAGGATTTCGAACTTGGACTAGGTCTGAATAAGATTGAAGACCTTTTTTGTGATGGTGTAATGATGTCATTCGAACAGCTGAGAGTTAAATTTAAGTTACCTAAAACACTTTTTTTTTTTAGATATTTACAAGTAAGGAGCTTTGTGGCAACCTCACAAACTAACAATTTGACCCTACCTGACCTATCACTAATAGAAAAAGCAGTTTCTGACGATCCTTACACCAATCGGCAGATCTCATATTTGTACAATATGTTTATTTCCAGTTCTACTGAATCCTCTGCTGGCCGGCTAAACACGTGAAAGAGCGATATAGCAACAGATATATCTTTAGAAGAGTGGAAATCAGTGTACTTAAAAGCTCATACTCAAACTGTTAACACAAGATTACGGCTTTTACAGGTTAACTGGTCCATGCGAACTTACAGTGGGGCAAAAAAGTATTTAGTCAGCCACCGATTGTGCAAGTTCCCCCACCTAAAATGATGACAGAGGTCAGTAATTTGCACCAGAGGTACACTT